AACGGGCTAGAGTCTGAGAGGAGATGCGAGCGCGGGGTCAACAGGTTCATAAGGAGAAGGAAGATGGCTACGATAATGAAAACGCGACGTCACGATTCCAGTTAGACTGGTACGGAGGTTAATTCGGGCAAGTCTGTTTCGCTACACTAAAGTTATAGTTAGTGGAGCGTGTGAAACTCTGGACCGCGGGGCAGTCTCAGGAAATTTATGTGCGAAATGCCTCGAAGAGAGCCTCGTGGCGCGACCTATGGGCCGCGATATGTACGAGAATAACTTCAGGGCGTTAAATAAAATAAATTAGAAATCGCTTTTATAGAAAAAAACGAAACGCGCAAACCAAACAAAGTACGAAATACCACCATTGGATTTATTCTCGCCCTACGTGTATAGCCGAAAGGCTTCTCCAATGGCCAGAACTGCTCAATTGACCGATTATACGGCTTTATCCTATACCCGAAGGGATTCGTGAATGTATTCTAAGTAAGGGCAGCGATTAAGTCATTGTGGCACCACAGGTGGCGCTGTTCGCGCTTCGCGCGTTTATCCGGCTGCAGACTGTCAAGACGTACGGGTACAAATTCAAATTCAATTAAAAAAAATTATTTATTATCATAATTTGCAAAGATACATTGATGCAGAAAACATTATTTTGAAGGGTGAAGGGGTAGCGAAAGACAGTAGGGTCATCAAGTCAGCTATCCCTCTATGGCCCTAGTGGTTCAAGGATAGAGAACATGGGTCCCAATAAAACCAATGTCATTTACATCAATATAAATATAATATTATATCAATATAATAGGTTAGGGTTATGGTTAGGGTTAGAATTAGGGTTAGGTTTAGGCACATTGGTTTTATTGGGACCCATGTTCTCTATCCTTGGGCTGTACTAGTACTAGTAGACATACCGTAGTCACATACTATGGAGCGCCAGATATTCGCTGTATTGGCTATTGCAAATGAGGAAAAGTTGAAATAAATGTGCAAATAAAAGTAGAGACTAAAGGTGCAGTATATACAGATTACAGTGATAACATACAACTTACAAGAACAATCAGTTGACAGTACTGTAGGATACAATAAATAAATTTGTAAAGAAGAAGATATATGAGTTTAATAACTTCATATCGTAAGTGATGTATATGCAGCGATACAGTACAACTACTACAAGCACATGCAATACTGCACTAACTCAGATGAAAGCACATGTAAAATAACAGAGATAACAAGTACATTCAGATTATAGCAGGGTTCTCCCTACGTTGCGCAAACGGGGCGCGCGCGCCCCGTTTGGGAAAACTCCCCCCTGTTTCAATCGTTGCGCCCCGTTTGGGAAAACTCCCCCCTGTTTCAATCGTTGCGCTCCGTTTAAAATACTTCCGCCCCGATTAAATTCCACCACAATAAAAGTTTGCCAGCGAGGGAATCGCTCGTCAAGAATTCCCATTCGACCAGGACAACCGGCGCGTGTATTTTTACCGTGCCACGCATGCACTGCAGACAATACACAAGTACAAACATTCAACCTGTCCCACACCCAACACTAACTGTACACCGACTCGGCTATCATATATTCATACTGGCATATTGATAGATACCGTGCATTCGAAATTCATACAACGTCATTATTCCACGTATCGTTCGTTAATAAACCGAATACTTGCAAATATACACAATGGACGTATTGAGCAATATAATGAGAGAATAAAAGGTAAAAAATGTCAGCGCAACTTCTGTAGCAGCTGTGTTTTCATCAAGCGAGATAGTATATAAGTATATATAAGTGTACATATATATATATATATGTATATGTATATGTGTGTATATATATGTGTATATATACGCAGTTCCATAGCTCATATGCATAGTTCATACAAACACATCATTGCATCATGCTAATGTTTAACCCCCGAGTACCGCACACATACACGAACACACATGCGCGCACGCACACGCGCACGCGCACGCACACACGCACACGCACAGGCACACCTATACATAGACACACGTAGCAACGCATATATGTGCTCGCGCACACAGATTCGCACGCACGCACGCACGCACGCACGCACACACACACGCACACACGCACGCACACACTCACTCACTCACACAGTCACGGAAACAAGCCCGCATGCTGACGCATACAACGAACACAAATGTTGCCAACGACAACGTTACCGCAAGCTGCTGGGATGATAAATGCGAAAAAGTTACGTTCACTTAAAATTCGTATAGCACGTGTGAAGTTACCCAGAGAAATATAATTAAAAAAACTATGATTTTTAACATTAATAGAAAATGTCGAGATTTCAGTTCATCTTAGAATCAGAATATCGTCGAAGAATTCATTCCCAATACGAATAAATGTCTCATTTACAACGTCATTGGCGTAGCTGATGACGATTTAGAAATTTAGCTTTCATGTAAATGGCATCAAAGAATAGCATTATCGCTCGTAGATTCGTGCAGACGTGTATTATATAGTTTCGGTACGTAATTTTCTGTATTTACTGTAGCTATCGGCCAAAATCATGATGAATGGCAACACGGTCTACGACGGAATACAGCTGAACAGAAATCCACATCTAAGGAAATCTGTTTTG